AACCACTGTTGCTCAGAGCTCAAACTCTTGAGCAAGCTCTCAACCAACTGAGCCACTCGGCCGGCCCTTAAATCCTTTCTGAAGTAAGCCTAGGTAAAATTGTTTTTAAGCCTGAAAAAAAAAGTAGTTTAAATAAGTAAAAGAAACAATAAACTAAAGATTTAAAAAGAATAACAAAAATTTTTTAAAGAAATAAAATAATTTTTTAAAGGGTAGAGCAATAAAAAACAATTGATATTGGCTACCTTTGGACAGAAAAAGGGGAGGACTGGAGAAGGTGACTTTTACTTAGTAATGTATACTTTTCTATACTGTTTGATTTACTACAGTATTTGCATGTATTTCTCCTATTTTTTTAGTATTAATAGATTATTTGAGCACTGAGATTACAGACCATTTTCCTTTTAATACTTCTGCATTCTTAAAAACAATAAATATCATTTAAAGAGTTAAATATAAAAACAGCCTAACAAATTTTTTAAAACTTTAAAGAACTAATTAAATCTAAAAATATCTTAATCAAAAAAGGTGATTAGCAAACATTTTTTTCTTTCAAAACATTTATTTCAAGTAGAAACGTATATAATGTACTGTATACAGGAAGACAACCATGTGTAAGATAGTTAAGTAAAAAACCTTGATGAGTATGCTCACTTGGTCATCCAAATATTAAAAAAGTGAAAATAATTTTACATTAGATACTTTGATTGAAAACAGTATTATTCAAGTAACAAGCCCAAAGCAGTCCCCAACAGAGCTCAAGTTTTTCTCTCTATTCATACACACAACCCTTACACAATAACCATATACATTTTTATCCAGAAATGTCCCCTAAAAATATGTATTTTTTAATTTCTGTCATTCTTATAGGAATTATTGTTTTGTTTTTCATAAATAAATGTATTTTTTCAGAATGGCACTAAGCAACTACATCAACCCTTGGACAGTATCTAAATCATTTTTACAAAACCAGAAATAGCTAAATGATGAGTCTCAGGATAAGTGAGAGGCATGGTGGGTTATTGATCTATATTGGAGTAATGTGTCAATTGATCGGCAGAGTGACAATGCGGAGTATGCTTTGAAAGTTGGCCCTACCTGGTAAGAACCCAGGTTGACACACACAAACCTTCTCTTGGTTCTAGAATCCTTTCTCAACAGTACGCATGAGTGCTCTAGAGAAGAGTCACCCGAAGGAAAAGTGAAAGCTGAGGTCTTGCCATGAGAAGCGTGCCGGCCGGTCAAAGGAGTCCCTGACCCCCGTACACGCAGGGGAAACGCAGCGTCCAGGCACAGCCGTCTCCAGGAGCGCAGGTGAGGCAGGTCGGGCATGGGAGGGAGACCCCATTTATTTGGATGAGGCGCACTGCGCACCCGCGGGAGAGTCACCATCGGGAAACCGACCCTTATGGCCGGGGCCACTGCGTCCTCCGGATCTCTGTCCTGGGTGTGTCGACTGGTCTCTGCTCGTTCCTCCTGGGCCGTTTTCCTCCGGATCTTCCGCCTCCTGGCCCTGAAGGTGGCAGGGCTGGGCTTCCTCCTCCTGCTCTCCATCCTCCGGGTCGGATTCATCGTTGTAGAAGTGAATGGTGGCTTGCACTGGGAAACTGGCCAGCACTTTTTCCCCAGAACTCTGCAAATATTCTTGACGCTTTGAAATGGGTAAATAAAGTCTGATATTTAAGAAAAGAAAA